GGGGAAAGGGAGAGGAGGGCAGGGGAAAAGGGAGAGGAGGACAGGGGGAAAGGGAGAGGAGGACAGGGGGAAAGGGAGCGGAGGACAGGTGGAAAGGGAGAGGAGGACAGGGGGAAAGGGAGAGGAGGATAGGGGGAAAGGGAGTGAAGGATTGGGGGAAAGGAAGAGGAGGACAGGGGGAAAGAGAGAGGAGGACAGGGGGACAGGGAGAGGAGGACAGGGGGAAAGGGAGAGGAGGACAGGGGAAAGGGAGAGGAGGACAGGGGGAAAGGGAGAGGAGGATAGGGGGAAAGGAAGAGGAGGGCAGGGGAAAGGGGAGGTGGATAGGGGGAAAGGGAGATTAGGATAGGGGGAAAGGGAGAGGAGGACAGGGGGAAAGGGAGAGCAGGATAGGGGGAAAAGGAGAGGAGGACAGGGGAGAGGGAGAGGAGGACAGGGGGAAAGGAAGGAGGATTGGGGAAAGGGCGAGGAGGACAGGGGGAAAGGGAGAGCAGGATAGGGGAAAGGGAGAGGAGGACAGGGGGAAAGGAGGAGGAGGATAGGGGGAAAGGGAGAGGAGGACAGGGGGAAAGGGAGTGGAGGACAGGGGGAAAGGGAGAGGAGGACAGGGGGAAAGGAGAGGAGGACAGGGGGAAAGGGAGAGGAGGATAGGGGGAAAGGGAGAGAAGGATTGGGGGAAAGGGAGAGGAGGACAGGGGGAAAGGGAGAGGAGGACAGGGGACAGGGAGAGGAGGACAGGGGGAAAGGGAGAGGAGGACAGGGGGAAAGGGAGAGGAGGATAGGGGAAAGGGAGAGGAGGACAGGTGGAAAGGAGAGGAGGATTGGGGGAAAGGAGAGGAGGACAGGGGGAAAGGGAGAGGAGGATAGGGGGAAAGGGAGAGGAGGACAGGGGGAAAGGAGAGCAGGATAGGGGGAAAGGGAGAGGAGGACACGGGGATAGGGGGAGGCGGATAGGGGGAAAGGGAGAGGAGGACAGGGGGAAAGGGAGAGGAGGACAGGGGGAAAGGGAGAGGAGGATTGGGGGAAAGGAAGAGGAGGACAGGGGGAAAGGGAGAGCAGGATAGGGGGAAAGGGAGAGGAGGACAGGGGGAAAGGGGGAGGAGGATAGGGGGAAAGGGAGAGCAGGATAGGGGGAAAGGGAGAGGAGGACAGGGGGAAAGGGAGAGCAGGATAGGGGAAAGGAAGAGGAGGGCAGGGGGAAAGGGGGAGGAGGATAGGGGGAAAGGGAGAGGAGGATAGGGGGAAAGGGAGAGGAGGACAGGGGAAAGGGAGAGCAGGATAGGGGGAAAGGGAGAGTAGGACAGGGCGAGAGGGAGAGGAGGACAGGGGGAAAGGGATAGCAGGATAGGGGGAAAGGGAGAGGAGGATAGGGGGAAAGGGAGAGGAGGACAGGGGAAAGGGAGAGCAGGATAGGGGGAAAGGGAGAGTAGGACAGGGGGAGAGGGAGAGGAGGACAGGGGGACAGGGAGAGGACAGGGGGAAAGGGAGAGCATGATAGGGGGAAAGGAAGAGGAGGACAGGGGAAAGGGAGAGGAGGATACGGGGAAAGGGAGAGGAGGATTGGGGGAAAGGGAGAGGAGGACAGGGGGAAAGGGGAGAAGGATAGGGGAAAGGGAGAGGAGGACAGGGGGAAAGGGAGAGCAAGATAGGGGGAAAGGGAGAGGAGGACAGGGGGAAAGGGGGAGGAGGATAGGGGGAAAGGGAGAGGAGGACAGGGGGAAAGGGAGAGGAGGACAGGGGGAAAGGGAGAGGAGGATTGGGGGAAAGGGAGAGGAGGACAGGGGGAAAGGGAGAGCAGGATAGGGGGAAAGGGAGAGGAGGACAGGGGGAAAAGGGGAGGAGGATAGGGGGAAAGGGAGAGCAGGATAGGGGGAAATGGAGAGGAGGACAGGGGGAAAGGGAGAGGAGTATAGGGGGAAAGGAAGAGGAGGGCAGGGGGAAAGGGGGAGGAGGATAGGGGGAAAGGGAGAGCAGGATAGCGGGAAAGGGAGAGGAGGACAGGGGGAAAGGGAGAGCAGGATAGGGGGAAAGGGAGAGGAGGTCAGGGGGAGAGGGAGAGGAGGATTGGGGGAATGGGAAAGGAGGACAGGGGGAAAGGGAGAGCAGGATAGGGGGAAAGGGAGAGGAGGACAGGGGGAAAGGGAGAGGAGGACAGGGGGAAGGGAGAGCAGGATAGGGGGAAAGGGGGAGGAGGACAGGGGGAAAGGGAGAGGAGGATAGGGGGAAAGGGAGAGAAGGATTGGGGGAAAGGGAGAGGAGGACAGGGGAAAGGGAGAGGAGGACAGGGGACAGGGAGAGGAGGACAGGGGGAAGGGGAGAGGAGGACAGGGGGAAAGGGAGAGGAGGACAGGGGGAAAGGGAGAGGAGGATAGGGGGAAAGGGAGAGGAGGACAGGTGGAAAGGGAGAGGAGGATTGGGGGAAAGGGAGAGGAGGACAGGGGGAAAGGGAGAGGAGGGCAGGGGGAAAGGGAGAGGAGGACAGGGGGAAAGGGAGAGGAGGACAGGGGGGAAGGGAGCGGAGGACAGGTGGATAGGGAGAGGAGGACAGGGGGAAAGGGAGAGGAGGATAGGGGGAAAGGGAGAGGAGGACAGGGGAAAGGGAGAGGAGGATAGGGGGAAAGGGAGAGGAGGACAGGGGGACAGGGAGAGGAGGACAGGGGGAAGGGGAGAGGAGGACAGGGGGAAAGGGAGAGGAGGACAGGGGGAAAGGGAGAGGAGGATAGGGGGAAAGGGAGAGGAGGACAGGGGAAAGGAGGAGGAGGATAGGGGGAAAGGGAGAGGAGGACAGGGGGAAAGGGAGAGGAGGACAGGGGGAAAGGGAGAGGAGGACAGGGGGAAAGGGAGAGGAGGACAGGGGAAAGGGAGAGGAGGACAGGTGGAAAGGGAGAGGAGGATAGGGGGAAAGGGAGAGGAGGATAGGTGGAAAGGGAGAGAAGGATTGGGGGAAAGGGAGAGGAGGACAGGGGGAAAGGGAGAGCAGGATAGGGGAAAAGGGAGAGGAGGACAGGGGGAAAGGGAGAGGAGGATAGGGGGAAAGGGAGAGGAGGACAGGGGGAAAGGAGGAGGAGGATAGGGGGAAAGGGAGAGGAGGACAGGGGGAAAGGGAGAGGAGGACAGGGGGAAAGGGAGAGCAGGATGGGGGGAAAGGGAGAGGAGGACAGGGGGAATGGGAGAGGAGGACAGGGGGAAAGGGAGAGCAGGATAGGGGGAAAGGGAGAGGAGGACAGGGGGAAAGGAGGAGGAGGATAGGGGGAAAGGGAGAGGAGGACAGGGGGAAAGGGAGAGGAGGACAGGGGGAAAGGGAGAGGAGGACAGGGGGAAAGGGAGAGGAGGACAGGGGGAAAGGGAGAGGAGGACAGGTGGAAAGGGAGAGGAGGACAGGGGGAAAGGGAGAGGAGGATAGGGGGAAAGGGAGAGAAGGATTGGGGGAAAGGGAGAGGAGGACAGGGGGAAAGAGAGAGGAGGACAGGGGGACAGGGAGAGGAGGACAGGGGAAAGGAGGAGGAGGATAGGGGGAAAGGGAGAGGAGGACAGGGGGAAAGGGAGAGGAGGACAGGGGGAAAGGGAGAGGAGGACAGGGGGAAAGGGAGAGGAGGATAGGGGGGAAGGGAGCGGAGGACAGGTGGAAAGGGAGAGGAGGACAGGGGGAAAGGGAGAGGAGGACAGGGGGAAAGGGAGAGGAGGACAGGGGGAAAGGGAGAGGAGGATAGGGGGAAAGGGAGAGGAGGACAGGGGGAAAGGGAGAGCAGGATAGGGGGAAAGGGAGAGGAGGACAGGGGGAAAGGGAGAGGAGGACAGGGGGAAAGGGAGAGCAGGATAGGGGGAAAGGGAGAGGAGGACAGGGGGAAAGGAGGAGGAGGATAGGGGGAAAGGGAGAGGAGGACAGGGGGAAAGGGAGAGGAGGATAGGGGGAAAGGGAGAGGAGGACAGGTGGAAAGGGAGAGGAGGATAGGGGGAAAGGGAGAGGAGGAAAGGGGGAAAGGGAGAGGAGGACAGGGGGAAAGGGAGAGGAGGACAGGTGGAAAGGGAGAGGAGGATTGGGGGAAAGGGAGAGGAGGACAGGGGGAAAGGGAGAGCAGGATAGGGGAAAAGGGAGAGGAGGACAGGGGGAAAGGGAGAGGAGGATAGGGGGAAAGGGAGAGGAGGACAGGGGGAAAGTGAGAGGAGGACAGGGGGAAAGGGAGAGGAGGACAGGGGGAAAGGGAGAGGAGGACAGGTGGAAAGGGAGAGCAGGATAGGGGGAAAGGGAGAGGAGGACAGGGGGAAAGGGAGAGGAGGACAGGGGGAAAGGGAGAGCAGGATAGGGGGAAAGGGAGAGGAGGACAGGGGGAAAGGAGGAGGAGGATAGGGGGAAAGGGAGAGGAGGACAGGGGGAAAGGGAGAGGAGGATAGGGGGAAAGGGAGAGGAGGACAGGTGGAAAGGGAGAGGAGGATAGGGGAAAGGGAGAGGAGGAAAGGGGGAAAGGGAGAGGAGGACAGGGGGAAAGGGAGAGGAGGACAGGTGGAAAGGGAGAGGAGGATTGGGGGAAAGGGAGAGGAGGACAGGGGGAAAGGGAGAGCAGGATAGGGGAAAAGGGAGAGGAGGACAGGGGGAAAGGGAGAGGAGGATAGGGGGAAAGGGAGAGGAGGACAGGGGGAAAGTGAGAGGAGGACAGGGGGAAAGGGAGAGGAGGACAGGGGGAAAGGGAGAGGAGGACAGGTGGAAAGGGAGAGGAGGATTGGGGGAAAGTGAGAGGAGGACAGGGGAAAAGGGAGAGCAGGATAGGGGGAAAGGGAGAGCAGGATTGGGGGAAAGGGAGAGGAGGAACTGAGGGGAATGACGTGGAACTGAGGGCCATGAGAGGGGGGAACTGAGGGAAAGGCAGAGAGGAGGAGGGGAAAACGCGTGTGGGCAGTGTGGGAAATGGGGAGGATGTGTGGCGGAAACATAGACGAGGAGAGCGTGATACGGAGGGGCGGAGAGGAGGAGAGTGGGATACGGGGAGGTGGGGAGGGGGTACCTGACAGGAGGAGCAGGGGAAACGGAGAAGGTTAGAGCGGGGTAAGGAGAGGTCGCTCTTAATTCCCTCAATCTCCGGCGCATATCCCTTAATTCCTTGCTGTCAATTCCCTCAATGTCCTTGCTGTCCTTGCTGTCCTTGCTGTCCTTGCTGTCCTTGCTGCCCCCACGCCTGGCCCTTGCATTCCCTCGCATCGTACCCCTTGCCTTCCCCGTACATATCCCCCACTCCCTCCCTCATGACCCTTGTATTCCTCAACGCTCTCCTTCCCTGCATTGCCATCGCCTGTTCCCGCGTGTCCCCCCGCCTTGGCCGGTACTTCCCCTCCGCGTATGCTCTGCTTGCCATCCCTTGCTCCCCACTGTGCCTATCCCTCCATGCGCCTGCGCCTCATCGTATCCCTGCGCGGAACCATCCAGCGGTGCTCCCTTGCATTCCCTGGACCGGTTGCTTGCAGTTTCCCCTCGTGTGTCCCTAGCTCTCTGCGGGACAGCCTTGTTTTCTTCGCGTCAAATCCTTGCTTTTCCCCTCTGCGTATCTCTCGCCTAGACTTCGCCTATCCTGTCGCCTCGCAACGAGGGGAAAAGAAAGCGCGACGAGGGGGAGGGAGAAGCGCGACGAGGAGGAGGGAGAAGCGCAACGGAAGAGAAAAGTGTCGCCCTGGGAAGAGTACATCGAAGGGCTGGAGTGCGCGCTTTCGGAAGAGTGGCAGGCGACGCGAGACAGAATAGGCGGGACAGGAGAGGGGAGAATCGACGAGAGAGTGAGTTGCCTTTTCGGAAGTGCGGCGGATCTTTTCCTGCCTTGTCGCTGCCGCCATGGACTTCAGTCCCAAGAACCCAAACGCTCTGTACTGTATCTTGTTTCTCATCGGGGTGGCTTTGTGGAGGCACTTCGTTGTGCGACATCGCACGCGTTGGTGGGCTGTTAGGTGGCCAATCCACACCCGTCGTTTTTTGTTTTCAACCAGTCGCCCAATTATGGGGTAACCCTGTTGGCGTGGGTTGGGTTGTCGACAGATAAAAAATCAAAGACTTTGAGTCTTGGTCTTACTTGGGTCACGCGCTTTAACCCCGCAAAACCCCTTCATCGGCGAACACCAGCCCTTCCTCTGCTCCTTAAACGAGGGAGCCTTGCTTATCACAGCCGCTCGTTACAAGATGCGCGTCGCTAAATTGTACAGGCGCACGCGGTTCGACTCGAACAGATAGAGCACATACACCCAATCGAATTTCGCCCCTGTCCCCAAATGCCACCCGACTCTCGCCCCTTTCCAAGAGACCTTCGCTTCACGCCCTCCGTCATCCTCCCCCCCAACTCCACTCCACCCCTCAAGCCCACCCATTTCTATCCTTACTGTATTTCTTGGTCGGTGCACCATCCATCGATTCGGAGAGTTCTTGTACACACACAGCCAGCTTGTCGGTCACAGAGTCGCATGCGCTTCGCTGTGCGACTCCGTCGTGTAGCTGGAATTTTGCTCGCACTGCGATCCATAAACTTCGTCGCATACCCATGCAGGCAGCGGCCTTCGTACGATCTTTGAGTCTCCCACAACTCCTGGTGGCTTGAGGCGAGTTCCTATAACAGTCGGATGACGCGACTCCGTCGCATACAGTGTAGCTAATGCCTTGGTCCTCGGCCAGGGGTCACCATCGATTAAGTGACAACGAGGCGATGCTAGTGTCAATGAGGCGCCCTTGGTTGGAGCCAATGCGGCGTCGATGTTCGAGCCTCAGTCTCCCTAGACAGCGGCCGCGCGGCAGGCAGTCCTCGTTGGATCCGATCCATCATCCTGACTCCTGTCCTGACCTCAGCAACCTTAGTAGTAGGCGAGGGGATACGAGAGAGTCAGTACAAAAGTCACCATGACCGGAGCTCCATCGTAACTAGCTTCCCCGCTTTTGCTTCGTCGACTTGAAGTCGAGGTACTCCGTCTCAAATCCTGTCCTATCATACTTCCGAAGTACATACTTGGGTACATATTTGGGCACATTTTCCGGTACCCACCGCTGGGAAATCCTTCTGTTTGCCCCGCGCGATTAGGATGATGACGAGGACCTCGCTCGTCCGTTTGTCTCTCAACGCCGTTATCATTCTAGCCCTACTCGAGATTGCTGCTCACCCGATAGCAGTGACGGCCAAGAAAGCGGGTCCCCGGCGACCGCCGCCCCCTAATCTGAAGCCGTCGTCCGAGATCCTACCCATGTGCAGATCTTCAGGTGAGACTCGCAGCGTAACACGTACGGGGATGCACACCGCGAATAATGCACTGCACCACCCTGCAATGTGCAAGACGATCACTTAGTCCCCGTCATTCACCAGGTTTGCGATCTGCTTTGTGGACTGTCCGTTCGCAGGTGCGGTCAATCTAACGGTTTCGCCAAAGTTCGTCGGGACCACGTGGCGAGGGTGGGGCACTTCGCTCGCTTGGTTCGCGAACTACGTCGGCGGCTTGCCGCAAAAGAAGCTGAACGAAATGCTCGATCTCCTCTTCACGAAAGACGGGCTAGCTCTGAACATCGTTCGTTACAACATCGGGGGCGGACACAACAAGAAACGCAGCCCGCAGTTTTATCAAATGGAGCAAACAGATTGGCGGGGAATGCCGGGTTTCAAGCCGACTGAGGCCGGGCCGTTCGATTGGAGCGCGGACGAACGGCAGCGGAACGTGCTGCAGGGAGCGAAGGAGAGAGGCGCGAATGTTTTCGAGGCGTTTTCCAACAGCCCGCCCTGGTGGATGACCAAATCTGGTGACGTGGCTGGCCCGCCGCTAATAGGCCAATCCAATCTCAAGCAAGAGTACGAGAGCGCTTTCGCATACTACCTGACTACCGTCGTGGAACAGTTCGCGAAGAAGTGGGGTGTGACGTTTGATTCGCTGGAGCCGTTTAACGAAGCGTTGGAGGGGTTTTGGCAGCAGGGGAATGCGCACGAGGGGTGCTCGTTTGACGCGCCAGCAATGGGTCGCATAATCAAATACACTTCAGACTCGTTAAAGAAAAAGGGACTTCAAACGAAGCTGGTCGGTGTGGACAGTTGGTCTCCCGCAACTGCGACGCTCTCCCAGGTGGCTAACCATCAGCTACTATCGCGGATAAATGTCCACTCATATATGAACAGGTACGACGAAGACGATGTCGCGAAGATATACGAGAACAATTTCGCGAGAGTTCGCGAAACGGCGAAGCAGCTCGGGAAGGACGTCTGGGTCAGCGAAGCGGGACCGATCGGAAAAAGCGGGAACTCCTGGGATGTGTCGCTGTACATGGCGCGAAACGTCATCGAGACCGTCAATATCATGGAGGCATCGGCGTACGTGTATTGGCAAGCGTACGATCTGGGCTCAGGCTGGTCACTGATCGACTTCCCCACGAATTACAACCCCGGATTCCAAGGCGCCATGAAAACACCGAAGCCGAACAAGCGGTTCTGGATGTTCAAACATTTCACCATGCTTGCCAAGCCTGGATCCAAGCCGCTCAAGGTAGGTTCGGACTGCTCGCACGGCATCAGCGCGTTCTACAACCCGGGCGACAATCGGGTTACCGTCTTCCTAGTGAATCAGCAGGCTAAGGAGCGGCGAGTGACGATTAATCTCCAAGGGTTCAGAAGAAATGTGGGCGGGAGCACGCGAGTGGTCGTCAGGAGGACGTCTTTCGCAACAAATCTGGGGAAGAAAGTCTACACGCGGTTTGGCGGGAAAGCGACACTTACTGTGTGGGGGCAATCCCTCGTTTCGGTCACCTTCACTAACATGTCTGATTAGGGCAACGAGCTACACTTGCTAGGCGGGTAGAATGTTAGCATAACCAGTTGCATTTCCCTCTAACCATGTGATTTGTTGTAGTAAAAAGTTGCTTTGCGAATCTTTGTTGGACCTTTTCAGTAGGTAAAAAAAAAAGGTACGTGGAGGAATCTTCAGCAATGCCACACAAATTTCAGAAGTTCACATCCCCATAGTTCCCTCTCGACACAGCTCTAGCTCGCTCATGGTTCCTGGCGCGAACCACAACCACCGATACCACAACTACCAACATAAATACTCCAAAAACAACCCCCAGCACTGTAGCTACTATCGCGCCCCTGCTTAGCGAACCACCATCTTGCGATGATGTGTAAGCTGGCGCAGGCGCGGGACTCACGTCCCCCGTCAGATCCGCTGGAAAGTTGTCTGAGGCGGCAGGTAATGAAGGAGGTGCGGATGGCCAGTACGCGTTAGTGTCAAACTCGCTGCTGCCACTGTTGCTGTCGGCGAAGCCGTCTCCATAAGGCATAGAGCTCGGAGCGGAAGAATGAGGAGCAAAGGAAGGACCTGGGGCAGATAGGGACCCTGCCGCGAGATCTTCTAGACTACTCGTCGAGTCTATCTTTTGGCCGAGAGTAACGGAAGGGGAGAATGTGAGGAGCAAGGCAAGGGCGAGGAGGCTGGAAAGGCACGGGAGGGTTGAGCGCGGGAGAGTCTTGTGAAGGGTTCGATTTCTGTGCCTACTAGGGGGGTGGGGGTCAGGGCCGTCGTCATTAGGCCGAGGGTCGGCGTTTTTGCTCTCAAAGCGAGGGATTCCGATGGTCGTCCGTACACGCAGCTCGTTATCTATTCTGGCAGCCATGGTTGGAAACGAGCGGTGATGGTGAGGAGGAGTTCCGAACGTTTGCATGCATAAATACCCGCCGAATGAGATTGGGAAATTGGCTGCGGAGTAGGAAGCCAGAGGCAGCGTAGGAGGTGGGGGTGAAGCAGGTGAGCTGGAGTTTGGTGGGGTTCGAGATTGCTGTTCTCGCTACGAATATAATGAACTGGGAAAACAAGAAAGCTGTTATTTCATTCATGAAGGAAAACAACTTTCATGAAGTCGTCGTAGCGAACACACATGGTTGCGAGCCTGTTTGCTCTTTTTTTTTTCGCTCAGGTGATCGAAACCAAACCAAAGCGAACGAAAATGCTTGGCATTATATTCCGTCACCAGTTGCAACCTCCGAATCGAGTCGAGAGAATTCATCTGTCAGCGCATTCAATCGCACGAGGTCGCATCGCTTCGATGCGACATGTGAAAACCAATCGCAATCTCAAACGTCCACTTGACGGCTGCTGCTGGCCCCATTTGCGACGTAGCTTGGCGATTCGGTAAAGTCGTTTCGCGATCCCAAGCCCGTCAATTTCTTGGAAACACCTGTCCCAGAGATCGTTGCCCTTGGGGCGACAGAAGGGAGGGGAACAAGACAGGTGGCGGACCGCGCTTCGCGAACAAAGTGGCGCAATGAGTTTCAAGGGAATGCTCGCGCCTTGTGTTGTTGGGGACAAATTGCTGGAATGTCGCGCTTCGAACCCAAACAAGACATTTGGGTTGGGGGCGAGCGAAATTTGGGGGCGAGTGAACTCAGTCAGTGTTTCCAGACTACCCGTTTCGCTTGGCTTGGACACGCACCCTCTCCCTCATTTACACCTTTGAATGTCCGGCACTCGTCTCGTTTACCTTTGCCGAGGCCTTCCTAGAGGTTTCATTGTTGGATTCCGACCGCCCAGAATCCGTTCGTAGGAAATATAATGTTTTCGCAGGCTGCTAAACTGTGATAGCGTCGATCTGTGCTCTTGGAGCCATACGTGCTGCTGCATCCACGAGATTCGCTATCTCGCAATCACCTCATAAAATCAGAACCGCAATCCTAAGAGAGTTTCCAGCATGGCTAGGACAGGAGCAGCTAGTAGGCCGATATCATTACTACTATTATTCCTAGTGGCGTCGTTAGTAGTGGGTTTTTTCTCCCGTACTGCGCACGCGCGTCCGTTGCATCGCGACAGCATCCGTCCGGCGTCAACAGCGGGGGCAGCGGGGCGCCACGCGCTCGACGAGATCACCATCCACGCGCGCATGCGGCGGGAGCGGCGCAGCCGGAGCGTCCGCCTGTTTTCCGCCGGCGAATCCGCATCGCTCTCGCCGCCGCCGTCGCTACAGCCGGCGAGCGAGCTGTTCGACGTCTGTAGCTTCCCCGGGCCGATCAGCTTGAACATCACGCCCTCATTCATCGGGACCACATGGAAAGGATGGGGCACGTCTCTTGCCTGGTAAGCCTAGCATACCACACTGCTTACCTCAATGCTCTGGCTTCTACTTCTCGCGATCCATACAGCGTTGTTGCTCCTCACCATCAAACCCACCCCCCACCCACCTTTCTGCATTTAGTCCCTTATCCACCAAATCAAGCCCGCATTTGTCCACTGGACCTCAACGAACAAATGAACAGCCCCCGCTTGGCCTCGTCAGGCAAGGGAACTTCGTCAGAGGCTTTTCTGACTTAGCCGGGGGGATTTTTACGTCTTCGTCGCGTCTTGGTCATGCACACCCTGACTTCGCCGCTGATACTTTCAACAAAACCCCATTCCAGGCAAGGAAACTACATCGGAGGCTTCCCCAAGGATCGCATGGACACGCTCCTGGACCTCGTTTTCCACCGCAATAAGGGGCTCGGGCTTAATATCGTCCGCTATAACATAGGCGGCGGGCACAATCCCGAGAAGAGCCCGCAATTTTCCAAGGATTTGGCGTCCGGGCTTAAGGCTATGCCCGGGTATTGGCCGGCGGAGGCTGGGCCGTACGATTGGAGCGCGGATCAACGGCAGCGGAACGTTCTCTTCGGCGCGAGGGAACGCGGGGCGAATGTTTTCGAGGCGTTTTCGAACAGCCCGCCTTGGTGGATGACTGTTTCTGGTGACGTGGCAGGCGCGTCGGTCCAGAATCAGCCGAACCTGCAGCCACAGTACGAGGGGAAGTTCGTAGATTACCTCACTACAGTGGTGGAGAAATTCGCAAAAGACCCGGCTTGGAATCTGACTTTCGATACATTGGAGCCGTTCAACGAGCCGTTGGAGAATTTTTGGAACGCGGGGAACGGGCAGGAGGGGTGCAATCTCGACGTCCCCGCTATAAGCCGCCTGTTGCGCGCTACTGGAGACTCGCTGAAGCAGAAAGGGCTCCAGACGAAAGTCGCTGCGTTTGATAGCTGGACGGAGAACACGGTCCCCGCGGTCAAGTCTATAACGGGGATGGATCAAGTGAAGCGGATAAACGTGCACGGTTACATGGACCCGGCCCCGAGTTCGCAGAATCCTGTCAGCTACACGTCCCAGATATACAGTAAAATGAGCGATATAGCGAAGGGGATGGGGAAGGAGGTTTGGGTTAGCGAATCCGGACCCATGGGGCGATACGGACAACCGTTCGATTTGTCACTATACATGGCGCGAAACGTCATCGAGACCGTCAACATACTGCAAGCATCTGCTTACGTGTACTGGCTAGCGTACGACCCGGACTCCCGATGGACTCTAATCCACTTCCCGTGGAATTACCCCGCGGGGTACACAGGTACAGTGATTAAACCGAAGCGGTCTAAAAGGTGGTATATATTCAAGATGCTGACGAGTCTCGCTAAGCCGGGAAGCCAGCCGCTCACCATCCCCGCTGAGTGCTCGCACGGTATCGCGGGGTTCTTCAACGAGGCGGACTCCGTAGTGAGTCTGTTTATAGTGAATCAGAAGGCGGAGGCGAAACAGTTGTCGGTGAATTTGGAGGGGTTCAGGGTGAATTCAAGGGGGATTACGAAGGCGGTGGTTCGGCGGACCTCTTGGGTGCATAATATGGCGCAGAGCGAGGTGATTAGAGGCGGGAAAGCTAGTATAACTATAGAGGGGCAAAGCTTCGTCTCGGTACACTTCACCAATGTTAGGAGAATATGATGGCACTTCAAGATAGAGATCTAAGTTAGAGCTTCGGGCTTGGCTGATTTAGGTTTACGTTAGGTTTAGAGCTTGGTTGTCCCTTCCTCAGAGACACAGCTAAAAATCTAGCCATGATCATTGTTTTTAAGCTCCTACTGAAGGTAAAAACAATCTTATTTCTCTCCGGACATTACTAAATATCACAGATAAGAACGATTGCCCTTCAACTACAAGTACTTTTGGTATCTGTTGAAGCGCAACTGCGAACCTGTTAAATTATATGTAACTTATATAATTTAACACACCCCCTAGATTTGGTAGTAGAAGAACACCCCACACACACCCCCTAAGTCTAGCACCCCCATATTCAGCAGTATGGGGGTGCTAGACTTAGGGGGTGTGTGTTTGGTGTTTTGTCAAACTGAACAAATGATTAGAATGATGGCATACAAGGGAATATAACCTAGTGGATTGTACTCTCTAAAGCACGACCCTACGTAGTCTATAATGACATGCAAAAATATGTTTGACACACTTGTTAGAATACTGGAATGAATTACTAGTGTGTGAACAGACAACATATAGCAGTTGGGTTGTACTCACTAGGAGCACACACCGATACTAGCCTAAAACTTCTACATGCAACGTATGTATAAGTTGACACACCCCCTAGGCTAGATAAGGGGTAGTGCTAAACAAGAAGCACACAGCTCAAGGTGGCACTACTAGTCCAACCACTGAGGCAGGGGTCCGATCCGAAGACCAGTCAGCAAGAGTCAGGGCCTCAGAAGTCAGGCCAAAAAGGCCTGAAAGCCTGTATATCAGGGTGTTTTTCAGGGGTCGGCCTGTTTTTTCAGGTTTCGATTTTCCCTTGTCCTGATTTTTAGGGGCTCTTATTTTGATAGGCCTGATTTATAGTATGTTCTAGTTACGTGTAGCCTGATTAATCAGCCTTAGCGGATTTTCGGCCTGAGACCGAACACCCCCCCCCCCAAACCCCGGAAAACGCGGTTGGAGCGGTGCCCGCAGTATGCATGCTGGAGCGCATGTGAGGGGCGTGTGATTGGTCCTTGACCAAAATCACGAGTCTAAATGGAGTCGCGATAGAGCACGTGTGAGGAGCATTGTGTGTGGTCCTTAGCCGAATTTACATGCAGCAATGAAGTTGTGCTGGAACCAGGCCTCTGGATAGGATTAGAAGTACTCTTTCTTGTAAGGGTACTCGCTTGCTGCCACTTTTTCTGTAAGGGTATATTTAAAAGCTACTTTGTAATATAAGGGTCCTAAATATTTGTACTTTTTCACATAAGGGTATAACTCCAGCGCAGCCTTACACTTTACTGTAGGTACAGGATCTCGCGTGATCAGACGACTGACGTGTTGCAGATTTGTGACGACGTGCCTTGGGTGGCACTCGACAGGGTGCACCAAGATTTTTGTTTTTGTTTGTTAGCGCTGAAGTGGGGGGAATGTCGCACCTCGGTAATTTTGCTGTTAGTGCGTATTTCTACATTAGTGCTTTCAGTACCAGAGAACCAAACTTCGCGAAGTACCAAATCGAACCGAACAGGAATTCGCGTTTTGACCCTCGGACCTCACCGTTTCGCGTTTCAGAGTCCATTCCGGGTTTGCTGGTAGTGATTACTGTCTTGTAGAAATACGACCTCATTCCCTAGACCCTTCCTGGTCGCGACCTCATTTCCCGTTGGTGCCGCACTCGTTTTTTGTTTGTTTTTTTTGTTTTTTTTTTGTTTTTTGTTTTTTTTTTGTTCTTTCATTTCTTTAGCTAATGTAGTGGCCGATACGACTCTACCAACACGAATTATACATTCAAGTCGGCAAGTTTTGTAACCGTGCGCATGAATTCTTGGGTGAGTGGCAGCAAAAAAAACGTAAACCATTAGCAGAAGAAATTGACGACTTGAATCCCCGTCGTGCGCGGGCAGGGGCCAGGTAAAAACCCGTGGAAACTTCAATTCAAGTCGCCGAGATTCCCTCGCCGAAGTGGGTAGGGGGGAAGAGAAAATTTGACATATCACGTCCAGGGCTTTGTTTTCGTTTCAGGCTACCCTGTAATTTCAAAGTAGTTATTCCCCCGAGTCTGACTGGAACACACTTGGAACTGGGGGACTTAGCCGAATCCTCCGGGTTGCGAAGGTACTACAGCGGCTTTGTCTCTGCGAGTGGGGGACTTCACCAATTTTTCGGGGTCGCTCGAGGGCTGTGGGAGGAATGCCTTAGGCAGTGGGGGACTTAGCCGAAATCTTGGGTTGCGGGGGGTATAGGAGGAATGACTCTCGGATTGGGGGGACTTAGCCGAAATCTACAGGTTGCCAAGGGGATAAAATATTTCAGGGGGGGATCGCATGTGTGATTGTGTAAGGGTGATTTTACACAACACTTTTCCGCATCAGGGTCCCTACACTCGACCACTTTGAAAAAACAGGGTCCCGTATAGATCTAGTTTTTTTCATAAGGGTCAAAAACTAAACCACTTTTAAAAATAAGGGTCCAACAGCTACCCCACCCTTATTATAAGGGCCGTAAGGGTATTTTACCCTGATATCCTGAGGCCTGGCTGGAACATGAGTCTCTGCCGTGATTGGACCTTGACGAATTTTACTGAACTTCGACCAATCGTCAAAGAGCTGCTGCAGTTTCTACCAAGCCGCACTCACAAGCAGAAGCACCAAGAATGCATCTGCCTTGGCATCACGACGTTATGCGTCCTGGCATATCGGTTCTGGGGGGACCACCTGTTTCATGCCTTTCTTTGCAGGCTGGTTTGTGCTCTTCGCACACTGGTTTTGCAGCACGTTGGACAAGCTTCTCGGAGTCGTATCTCGACCTCTCTAGTTTAGCCTCCTCTCGTTCCTCACCCCCGTCATAAGCGATGACGAGGGGTGGCAGCTGCAGGGGTCGAGACGCCGCAGCCCTAAGGCGACGTTAGGGCAAGCGGGCGCTCAGCCAGGCCTGCAGTCGGCACTGGATCTCCTTGTTCGTCCCATAGCAATGTCGAACAGGTGGTGGTCGGATGACACGCGGATCGATCCATTCCCGCCACTGCCTAGCAGTCCCGCGCGTGATCCCGCGCGAGAATTTCCTCAGTTGCGTAGCCCAGTGAACATGACAGGCAGTTCAACGCCGGCGCAGACCAGCTCGCCGCGAGTTGCACCGAGTTTGCTGCCACCCCCTCGCAGTACGCCACGAGTAGCTGCTCGGACACGAGAGGCCCCTCGCAGCCCTTACCGAGACCCTGTGACCTCGCAGCCACTGCACCGTAGCCCGACGCGAGGTGCCGATCACATGCCGCTGCGGCGAAGCCTGCCTCGCGACGAATCTCCGCTCCCGCCTCTCCCTAGCAGCCCGTATCGAGATGCTCTTCTGTCGCCACCTCACCACCGAAGCCCGCTTCGCGGTGCAGCCCTGTCGTCGCCGTCGCAGCGCAACCCGCCCCACGACGCTGCTCGATCTTCGCCGTCGCAGCGCAGCCCAAGGCGCGAGGCTGCTCCCTCGTCGCTGTTGCAGCACAGTCCAAGGCGCGGTGCCGCTTGCCTGTCGCCATCGCCGTGCAGCCCATCGCGTGACGCTACACACCAGCCACCGTCCCAGCCCAGCTCAAGGTGCAACGCCGCTCACCTGTCGCCGTCGGCGCGCAGTCCATCACGGGACGCCGCATGTTCGTCGCTGCCACGGGGCTCAAGGCGTGATGCCAGTCGAAATCTGCCGTCACATGGTGGGGTGGGGGACGATGAGGGCGGTCCCGCCACCAACTCTGCTGACGTCGAGAATGGGGGATCGACGTCCCCGCCAAAACGGACGTATCGCCAGGCGTTACTCAGCTTCCGGTTGCCGACCGTTGTCGACAACCATCCCGCCGCTGTTACCTTCGCGACAGCACGAGCAACTGTGCGGTCAAGAACGCACCGACAGACATGTGCTGTGCCAGTGGTGTCGTCATCTCCGGGACAGTCCAGCGGCCATGTGGAACAACAGTTTAACCATTCGACAACAACCCCACCAGTGGCTGCCACCCCAACTGCCAGCCCATCTACCGCGTCGCCACTGGAGTCCCGCATTCAACATTCTGCTCACCCAGATGAGGAGTTTAGCGAGGCTGCTGATCTGTTATATCTTCAAGCACTGCAAAGTTTTAAAGCTGACTGGCATGAGAGGTTTCCATGGTTGCAGCTTTGTCATACTAAAACCGGCCTCCCCTCTCTCAAATGCAGTGTTTGTTCTGAGCATGGTGTGGTCGGAACCAGGTACGGTCGAGATGGGGAGGGCGCCGTGGACGTGCAGACTCAGGCGATGAAGAAGCACGCTCGCACCACATGACACAAGGCCTGCATCAAGTCACAGAGAAAGGCGTTGGAGGATGCTGTGAAGCAGAAGAAGATCTCTGACTTCCCATAAGCTACAGATCTGGAGAAGGGGAGAATAATTGCGCTCCTGTGGGTCCTCCACTTCATCTGCCAGTGTGATGCGCCGATTGGGATATGGGTGAAGTTGGTACGGTTCCTATCGAAGCGGAAATGTCCTGGCTTCCCAAAGAAGAGTTACGGGACGTACTATACAACGTGAGTTCATTTGCGTGCTGATTGCGGTGCAGTTGTGCCGATGTCTTTCTATAGTTTAACTCCACACACGGTAACATGCTCTTTCGAATACTGACAACCTACGTCCTTTGTTCACCATGTGCGTTTACCACATCTGCCCCTTCCCACCTTGTACATGGCAGGTACGGTTTCGCTCAACTGATGCGTTGCACAACATCGTGGCTACACAACTCACAGATGCGCCACGTGCACGCGAGCCCATTTATCGGTCTCTCCTGCGACGAGTCGACCGATCGCACCAGGGGGAAACATCTAATCCTCTTTGCCACGTTTTTGCGTGACGGCCATGTGGTAACAGAATTCCTAGCACTGCTGACGCTAGACCAATGCGATGCAGCCTCTATTCATGCCCTCATTCAGGATCACTTGTCGAAGATCGGAGTGGCTCCAGAGAAGATCTCGGGCATCAGCACGGACGGCGCTGCCGTCATGATGGGCGCCACTAGCGGGTTGGTGACTCGTATGCGAATGCAGATACCTCACCTGGTATCTTCCCACTGCATAGCCCACAGGTAAGCAATG